TTGCCTACTGGTAATTCAAGTTGTAGATTCTGTGCAAATTGCTTTTTATGTTGTTGTGTAATTAAAAACTCATTCTTTCCGTCATTCATTTTCAGTTTGTTTATACAAATACAAGATTGTGGCCTTAGCTTTGGGTGCAGGTTTAAAACTCAAGTCTTCAAAATGTCAGTTTTTTAAAGAAACAAATAAAGTATTTAGGGCATGTAGTGTCTAGTGAAGGTATTGAGTGTGACCCCGAAAACACAAGTTGTTTGGGTGAGTGGAAAGTGCCTACTAATGTCAAGGAGACGCAGCGGTTTTTAGGCTTTGCTGGATTTTATCGGAAATTTGTTAAAGACTTTGCAAAGATTGCAAAATCGTTACATGAGTTGATGAAAGAAGAACAGAGAAAAAGGGAAGTAGAAATTGGGAATGGAAAGAGGAGCATCAGAGGGCATTTGAAACATTAATTCAAAAACTTACCAACCCTCCAGTTTTGTGTTACCCAGACTATAGTATTCCGTTTGAGCTGTACATCCACGCTAGCTACTGTGGGTTAGGAGCAGTGCTTTGCCAAACACAAGGGGGATTGAATTGTGTAGTGGCATATGCTAGCAGGGCGTTGAATCGAAATGAACAGAACTATTGTTCTAACAAGTTGGAGTTTCTTGCTCTAAAATGGGCTGTGACACAAAAATTCCATGACTACCTGTATGGTCACAAGCTTGTAGTGATTATTGACAATAACCCCCTTACATGTGCTTACTACTGCAAAGTTAGATGCTGTAGGCCATCGCTGGTTGGCCAGTTTGGCCACTTACGACTTTGAGTTGAGATATGGCTCAGGTAAGTCAAATGTTGACGCGGATACATTATCTAGATTGCCAATTCGGGATTGTCATTGTTCTGCACAAGTAGTCAAGGATATATGTAGCAACAGGTATGGTGTGGAATTGGAGTATGGTTTGAGTGATAGTATAAATTTCCTACTCAACGGTATTATTTTGTCATTTTACTGGCACTGCCATGTTAGTATGTATGTACAGGTATTCAGGAATAAAGAAGCTGATTCTTCTGAAATATAGTTGATTTTTGTTGTGTTACTCGGCTACATATTAAATAAACTTTTACACTCTAAATCAAACATATAATATCATCACAGTGTTATTAAGTCTGTCTGTCTGTCTGTCTATTTTATTAAATGATGCATCAACATACATATCAGATTCCTCCTGAACAACAGAGTGACCTAGCGGTATGTAACAAATAAGGAAAACGAAGCAATCTTCCCATCAGAAAATGGGGTATTTTCAGAAGAAAATTTAAATGGCTTCATCTTTAACCTGCAAGGGTATGCCCCGGAGACCGTAACAAACAGCACTACTGGTAGTTATGATTTTACCTCCTCCTACACCCCTGTAACAGTAACTACGCATGCGCTTCTCTTGTATATTGGATCCGATAGTGCTGCCACGTAGTGTCACTTAGCTTTTACTTGACGGCGGCACGCGTCCGACGCTCTTAGAAGGTTTAGGCCCCAAACGAGGTAAATCAAGATTTAATCTTTCATTATTTTATAATTTTTATTAGAAATCAAAACTTTGAAGTTATCGTCTCGATTTACAAGTTGTTTATCACTCAATTTCAGAATTATTGTTAGTTTAAGAAGTTTCCATGTCAGCGTATGTGTTCGTAGGACTACATGTATGTTTTATGTTTATTTTAGTTCCACGGGAATAATATTTCGTCGGAACCGAATGGGAATAAAGATTTTACCACCAACTTGATGCAGTTTTTATTATTTATTTATTTAAAGACGCGTGCTGCTACAACCCCCTGTACTCTCATTTAGGAGTAGGGGTGGATCATTTGCAAGGTGAGAGGATGACCTTGCATTCCTATCTCATTAAGTGTTTCTTTATTGATTTACAAAAGAATATACTGCAATTGTCTTTGATTAAAATGATAACATAAATTGATGATAATTGACAAGCCCTTTTTTGAAAGTAAAAATCAAAAGATCGATGATTTCTTTTTACAGGAAGATTTATCAGGGAGTGGTTTTTGGGAAGTCTTTAAGCCCTGGGGCACTTATAACTGTAAATTTGACGCCTGATACATGTAGTGTATCTAAAGTATTAAGGATGATTGTAGAGATGGGACACTTACCCAGAGAACATGTCTTAACTGATTCGGCAGGGTTCTTTGACAGATACTGAAGCAACCAGAGGTAGGCTGTTCCGACTCTAATAAGCTGAAGCAACTCATGAAAAGGCATAGGGGGCAAAGCCCAAATTCTAAAAAATTTAACAGATTATCACTCACAAAAGAGCTTTTATTTAATTCTAGCAATCCGTCTTCCATGCTTTCCCATGTCTTTGTTATGAAATGAACGTAATCTTTTCCGAGCAAATATTTTTGGTCAGTTTTTGTCAGTTTTTACTACGGATAACATTTACCAAGTAAGGTAAATCGCTTCAAAAGTGACCTTCATGATTGTAAGACTTTTATCTTTATTTCCTGCAAATGAATTCTGGAAATGTCATTTCAGAAAGATATACATTTTGTCGAAGAGTGATGCCCTGGCGTTGAAGGCAGCGTGGACCAGTGGGCGGAGGTATTAGCTTTTCTCATATATAAATATGTGGACAATTTGATTACATCTTCTTTAATTATATATATTTATCTGCATATATTTATCTCATTTAACATAAAATCAACAACAGGCACACAATAGGAAATGAAAAAATGCCACAATATCAGTACAAAACTGAAAGATTTCACACAAAAACACAGAAATCTAAGAAAACGACATTCGCCTCAGCTGTGAGCCCACACCTGTCATCCGTTCGATTCAGTTTTTACTCGATGAAATCCTCCACCGTAACGGAAGGTAAATCGCTTTTACCCATCAGGATCCCTGTACCTACAAAACTAGTTCACCATTATGCTCCAAAATGTATTTTAAGATCACTTGACCAGTTGGTGACGATGCAGGGAAAAATGATGATGTCATAATTAGATTGATTCATGTAGAACATAACTTATGAAATTTAAAAAATGTGTCAGTTAAATTACCCATCAAACTTGTGAACATGAATGTCCTTTGGGTCCATTTACTACAAGAATAAATATATCAGTCACAGAGATCCTACTGATATTGATAAATATGAAGTTCTTTATGTAAATCTACTTATAACAATCAAATTGTTTATTATCACATACTGCAGGTATGGCTAAGAGAAACATCACTGACAGTATTAGTAACTGACAGTAACAATTAAAGATTTCCCTTTGTTCATAAAAACATAAAACCCTGATATCATAAAGAATTGATCTATTGCACCTCTTCAAATATAAGAAAATGGTAACTTTACTGACCTGTCATCATGTTGAAGACAATAAAGACAATATATGCAGCAACTGTCTAAGTTAGTTGCTAACAAATGGGAAAACATGAATGTAACTTGCCCTATCACAATAACACAAACACACTACAGAAGAGACGGTCTCATCAAAACAACACTACTAACACACTACAGAAGACAGGGCCGACTTGTCAGATCAAACAAATGCTCAAACATTATGAACAGAGGTGTTGTTCATGAAAAAAATCACCCAATAACTGAAATAAAATCCTTTCAGTCTTGGGTGAAAAATAATAATCTATAAGATGTGTAGAGGTTTTTCAATATGGAAGAAAAAATTTATACATGGAGGCATAAGACTACGTACATTGCATATAGCTTATAGATTATGTGTTTGTTAACCAAACAGTGTTAAATAGTGTAACTCACTGTGATATATAGGTATCCAAAAAATTATGCACAGACTAACAAAAATTATGGGATTACCTTAACGTGCAAGTGAACAACTTTTCCATAATATCTGACAAAAAAACTGGCTTCACAAAAAAAAAAAAAGGGAATAATGTGAAAGAGTCACATATGAAATTAAATGAAGCTTGCAAGCTATACTGTACTGATCCTACAAATACAGAATATAGAGGTAAACAGACACAAATTGAACTATGAATATCTTGCATCAGCTGATAGGATGCAATAATATGATAAAGTCCAGTGGTATGAAAAAGGTAAAAGGAGTATTAAGTATTTTTTTAAGTCTTGAGAATGCAAGAGCAAAAAACAAGTGTATAATTGCCCTCATATCATCAGAAAACAGAGTTATAACAGAACAAACAAAAATTCAACAGGTGATAAATCAGTATTATAGTGAGCTATATTCTAAAAAGATTGTATTTAGATCTGCAAATCTTGAGGGTTGACTTAAAGGCCAACTTTCTTATTCTAATCACAAAGAAAAGGGCTGACAACTGATACCAAAAGCGGGGGGTCTATCACTTACAAATATTGATTATAAAGTAGCGTCTAATGTTATAGCTAACAGGAATATGAATATGCATATAGGTAATATTGCAAACAAATGTCTTGAATACATCAACTACAGTGAACCCCATATCAATTGGGTCCAGGGAAGTTTCTATGGAGTTAAAGTCATGCTGGGAGTCTTCTGGTGACATCTCCAGACATCTTCATGACCACAAGTGGCTGACTGGAACAGTGGGTTTGTGATGGGACACGTTATCTTAAAGGGATAACAACTGTCCTTGTAAGTTAATATTTTACAATAAATTCACTGATAGAAATATAATTTAAAATTGCATTTTAAAACAGCGGCTATTGCAATTATTCTGGAATTTTTGCTTTCCATCAGACCACTTGGTCCTTCATAGATGGCTATGCCGCCGTAATACATAAAATATTAAGAAAAAGAAACATGGACTAACTTTGAATGAAGAAATGGATTCATTAACCATTGGTAAGTATGGAAAGTTGCAGTTTACTCCAGGAAATTTCCATTTTTGACCAAAACTAACAGTTGTTGTCCCTTTATAACTGAAGAAACCAGTTGTAAACAAAATTCCAAATCATGGTGTACTAGCTGGCAAATGAAACACCTAATTTGGTGACTGGACTGTAACAGATTTAAAATGCACTTACTTTGTGGGGGCTACTGGTGACAGCTTAGACTTCAGAGAATGGCACTATTTCCATACTGAAAAAAAATTATAACAATGTGAACTATGCCTAATCTGCTTCAATATTTGTGAAATTTCCAAAAATAAAGCCTTACAGCAGTAAAATCTGAGATCAGCACATCAGTTGACTGTAACTTAGGTTGAAGTTCATTTTTGTGATAAATAATGTGAGGGATCGGAAGCTGGAAATAACAGTTACTGATTAAAAAATTACTTAATTAAACCCAAAAGAAACAAAAAAAGTAATACTGGAGTTTTTATTCACGGAGAAACTTGAAGAAGACCATGCAATTTCCTGTTACCATGGTTTTCTGTTTTTGACTCTTCACACTCCATTTATCCTAAAACTTTATCCTTTTGTACAGGACAGTGACAAAGGGATGCTCCTGCTGGTGTCTGTTCCTGTTCACTTTAAAGCCACGCAGCTGGATTCTGTTCATCTAGAAGCCACAATGTCATCATGTCATACACAAAGAAAACCTGGAAAGAGAAGCAATTTTTGAAGGAACTGACATTTTATACAAGACTGTTAGACAGCTGACAGGATGACACCTGGCACTGTGACACCTGACAGTCTGACACTTGGCAATGTGACATCTGACGGTAAAACACCTGGCACTGTGACACCTGATAGTAGGACAGGTTCAGCTAGGCCAGTTGAGAAATTACCTTTTCAAATAAAAAATAATCTGAAATGAACTCTACAGTACAGACATTCCATCTTTGACCTCATATTTTTTAACAAAATTAAGAACAGTATAATCAACATATCACCACTACCCAGAGTTTTTTTGCTAATTAAGGGAAATGCATACCTATACCAATTCTACAGCAGAACTATCAAAATAAAGAACCTACTTCTCCTTCTAATTGTGACTAAGGGACCATTCCCAGACTTTATTGTACTAACTGTGGATCAATCTATCTCCACAGAATTCTAGCTAAATTGCAATCTAAGATGTATGGGATGCCTACTGAAGCTGCGAGGGGGTAATTAATTATCGTTTAGCAGCTTCAGTGGGGGTGCCAGACAAAAAAAAAAAAAACCTATAAACTCGTGCATAGTGTGACTCAACACCACACCTCAAAGTCAAGCCTTTGGGACTAAAACTAATGAAGACATTAAAGTAGTCACAAAATGCACTGCCAAAAACAATTTTTCTTTTCTCCACTCTAAGTTCTCTGAATCTAATAATACAAATACAATTGCTCAGACTTGCCCTTCAAGAAATCGACGGAAAATTGCTCTTTTTCAAATTTGAATGGGCACTGTAGAAAACGTATGATAGCTAAGGCTCTCAAATTGTAAGTGCCAGATTCCTTGCTTTAGATATACAAGGTGTAAGTGCTAGATTCCTTGTTTTAGATATACAAGGTGTGAGTAGTTTTCATGACTTGCGAGAGTAGCGCCCCTGTATTGAATGTAACCGAGTCATAACGCTACAGGATTTTGCACAAGAATGGTCTCTCCTGCATTTTACTGTTATTTCCACCGTTGTATGGTGTATTGTTACAGTTGTACGGAGAAATCATAATGCAAGTGTTTACCAAAATATATTTGCATAGCGTATTTATTAGTTGTCTGTGTAAATAATAAAGGTAAAATATTGGTACATTAGCTAGAGAACCTGGTAGGGTGTGGCCACTAGTATGAAATACAGTAAATGTAAAAAAACAAGAACACATTGGTATAATTGTAAACTGTATAGCCTTGCTGTAATTCAGTATTTAATGTTTTAATTAAAATTAAATTAGGGTAATTGCACTATAAATTAAATTTCATATTATTTGTGCTCATTGAATATATATATATAACAGATTCAAGTCTCGCTATATACAGCCAACTTAATGTAATGTTCAGTATATCTAGTATTATACAGTTATGTATTTGATGTATGTAATTTAAATGTTCAGATGCACATGTATAAGTATTTATATAGTTTCCTTTATTTATTAATTTATTTTATTTATTTATTGTTTTCTTTCCTAGATTACGTACTTTGCTGACTTGCTGATATGCTGACTTGCTAATTTGCTGTACCGACATGACAGATGTGAATGGCAAATTGTTAACTGAACTGAACATTGAAATAAAGCACGAGTTATATATATATATATATATATATATATATATATATATATATTCTCCACCGTCTCAACGATTTCACAAATTACACTGTATGCACATAGGTGTAATATCATCTGAAGAATAAGTGTTGTAAATTTCAATCCAAGCGGTTGCGTATATTTTGAGATGGAACGCTTTAAATGTGCAGCAAACCGTGATGCTAATCCCTTCAAGAACTCGACGAAAACCTGAAGTGCGTCATTACAACACTCACTTGTACTTGGAAAGCTGCTGGGTGATTTTCCGATGTGAAATATTAAGTAGTTTATATAAATGTATATGAATTATATAAATGAAAATGAACATGTAGATAAAAGAATCAAAATTCACTTATCAAAATTAAAACTGCATATTTAGACAGAAAAACACTGTACATTTCTGACCTCGACTTGCTAATGTAAACAAAGTGTACTGAACGCATCGCAAGCAAGCATATGAATGACGCGTTTGATACTTTGTATCAGACGCTTCTTTTTACTAGACAACACTGTGTTTACGATGGGCATGACAGGAAAAAAAGTGCAAAAAAAAACACGTACTTCCAGATTGCGTCGATTTTTCTTGAAGGCGTCGATTTCTTGAAGGGCGAGTCTATGAAAGTGTCTGTCAAGTAATGTGGCCATCCTCAGATGTACGGTACATTGTTCCTAGTAAGGCGTGGCAAAGAATAGTTCAACACTGATAAACCAAAGAATTTCTATCTGTGTCCTATCAAGGATAAGCAATATATCTGTTTCTTACATAGCCTAAGATAATGATACATTACAATATAACCTAGGTTACCTATTATGTGGCTACTTCTTCATGAGTGCAAGTAGCATCAGAATTTTCCCATTACACACAGTGTCAGGTAGACAGCATGAAGTCCATGTACCTGTCATCTCATCTAGCTGGACCTCTGACCCTCCAACAACTAACTGTTCACACAGTGTCAGGTAGACAACATGAAGTCCATGTACCTGTCATCTCATCTAGCTGGACCTCTGACCCTCCAACAACTAACTGTTCACACAGTGTCAGGTAGACAACATGAAGTCCAGGTACCTGTCATCTCATCTAGCTGGACCTCTGACCTTCCAACAACTAACTGTTCACTTATGCAAATATAGAATGCATTAGAGGCGATCTTGACTATCGGCACTTATATGTAAATATAGAATGCATTAGAGGTGATCTAGCTAGCTAGCTGCACTAACACAGTATAACACTTACTGTCTCAGAAGATCTGTTTTAACTTGTAGAAGTCGTATACTAGTGAAAAGAATGCGATTTTTCTATTAAACTTACATAAAAAATTAATTAAAAGATATAACGGTGTAATCTAATTTATCAAGACAGCACTATTGCCAGAAATCATGCACATAATGGCACAAAAATATGATATGTAATCACTACAGAAAAGGAACATCAAATTCAGCGCACCCACGTGGTAAGCCGTGACTGTAGACACACCCTGTAACTTACGGCCGTAGCAATTAATAGTCCTAAGGTTCAATAGTCCGAAGGTTCATTGGTCCGAATATTCACTATAGAACCTTCGGACCAATGAACCTTTGATTAAAAAATCGATGAAAATGTTACCACTTTTCGGACCAATGAACCTTCGGACTATCGAGACGCTCCCTAACTTACAAGGTTACATGCTGCTGTCACTGTTAGATCTAGGCCTAGGCTAAGTGTAGAGAAAACACAGTGATAGTGCGTAAACTTACGTTACACTACTGTCGTCTACACCCAAGTTTGCCGTTCCTTCTGGCCCCCATACCAGGCACGGCCGGTAGACTAACTGGGTGAGATGAGTGCACAAAACAAGCACGTTTTAAATCTCGTAAATTATCGGTCCTGACGCGAGGTTAGCCAAAGACGCCTCGGTGTCTCAACCGTGATTGTGTTTTTACCTTGCACCTGCCTTTCAGCGGACTTTCGCGCTTCTGCTTCGTCGGAGCTCATTTGCGCATATTTTTTTTTTTAAGAACTGCATTGTTATTTATTAATTTTGCCTAGGCCTATTTGAAAATCCAAAGTAATTTTAAGAGCAAAAAAAACTCCTTTATGCTCGAATAAACAGTCCGCAAAGAAACCAACCTGGAGGCCGCGTGTAGGCCTAACATGTGAAATAACACAGAATATTTGAAAAATTGAGAACGAATGAATATTCAAAAAAATTTAGAATACAACAAGATATTAAAGAGACCTCCTGGTAAAGAGAAGCAATAAGGAACGGATTATTATATCTTTTGATTGATTTATTTAGGCCTATTTATGCGAAAGATGTGCCGCAGTGCCAATGTCAAAGGAATTATTGTTACATGTAACTGCCGGGATAAAGCTCTGAAACCCTAAAAATAAGAAACCGTTCAATTCAACATGACTTTGCGATCTCTGGCCTGCATGGATTCTGTCCCTGATATAGCCTATTTATAATCCTTTCTCCAATGTGGCTGAGGGCATAAGACCACTGGAAAGTGGAGGGGGGGGGGGGGTCAAAAGCGTGTAATGAAGATAGTCATTATTGATACCGCCGGTACTTTACTTTCATGATCATGGATTTCTTACAATGCCAGTGGATTCCTCTAAACCTCTGAGTGATGGAGGTACATGTAGCCATGACATCTCACAACTCAAAGCCAGAAATAAAATCCTTGTATTTGACGCGATGAAAGGCCACGTCAGTAAAAAATAGATAAATAAATAAATAAAATGAATGAATAAATAAATAGGGTTCGATTCCCGGCCGATGCAATAAGTTTTGACCTGGTTTGATTTTTTAATCTCTGGCAAAGAAACAGACAAGTGCCGATAACGAGGAAACATTCCACTTAACTAGCGGTAACATCTAGTTATTTTCTTGTCAGTAATTGTAGTAATATGATATGATCCATATTGTGTTTGCTCTCCCATATTTTAAAAGTATGTTGTTTACATTTTGCTTTTTACGTATATTTTCAAATATATGTTTTAATAAGTGAAAGTGGGGGGNATAGCCGACTTCGTGGGGGGGGATTTTTGGAGAACGGACGAAAATCGGTGCGCGCGCAGGATGTCATCCATAAAATTAAAAAAGTGTGGCCTTATATGTAAATTTAGAATGCATTAGAGGTGATCTAGCTAACTAGCTGCACTAACACAGTAAAACACTTACTGTCCCAGATCTGTTTTTACTTAATTGTAGAAGTCATATACTAGTGTAAAGAATGCGATTTTTCTATTAAACTCACATAAAAAATTAATTAAAAGACATAAAAGTGTAATCTAATTTATCAAGACAGCACTATTGCCAGAAATCATGCACATAATGGCACAAAAATATATGTAAGCACAACAGAAAAGGAACAGCTAAGCAAATTCAGCGCACCCACGTGGTAAGCCGTGACTGTAGACACGCCCTGTAACTTACAAGGTTACATTCTGCTGTCACTGTTAGGTCTAGGCCTAGGCTAAGTGTAGAGGGGCCGTAGCAATAGTCCGAAGGTTCATTGGTCCGAATATTCACTATAGAACCTTCGGACCAATGAACCCTTGATTAAAAAATCGATGAAAATGTTACCACTTTTCGGACCAATGTCAATGGGTGAATGTCAATGAACCTTCGGACTATCGAGACGCCTCCGTAGAGAGAATACAGTGATAGTACGTAAACTTACGTTAGACTGCTGCCGTCTACACCCAAGTTTGCCGTTCCTTCCGGCCCCCATACCAGGCACGGCTGGTAGACTAACTGGGTGGAATGAGTGCAGAAAACAAGCACGAGATGCTCCATTCACGTTTTGAATCTCGTAAATTATCGGACCTGACGCGAGGTTAGCCAAGGACCCCTTGGTGTCTCAACCGTGATTGTGTTTTTACATTGCACCTGCTTTTCAGCGGACTTTCACGCTTCTGTTTCGTTGGAGCTCATTTATGCATATCTTTTTTTTAAGAACTGCATTGTTATTTTTTTAATTTTGCCAAGCCCTGTTTGAAGATGAAAAAAAAAAAATTAAGAGTGAACAACCACCGTAAGCACTCCGCAAAGAAACCACCCTGGCCGCTAGATGTTAGACCCCGACCCCGGATTATGGAACGATATTTGACGTTTTTCAGCTTTGCACAGTCTGTGTTTAAAAATGAAAGTAAAACTAAATGTTTGCGTTCCAATAGATACGACGTCCACATAAACCCACGTATTATAAATCCGCATAGACCCAACCTATAGATCCACATATTTTAGATCCAAATACCGATAGATCCATTACAGGTAGGCCTACACTATTGCTCAAAATGGTTGGTATACTACTCAGTACATGAAATGCACTTTTTTAAAACGGCAGTAGGCCTACACATATTAATCCCTTCAGCAATTTATTATTTTACTAGATCGTTTTATGCAATGCTCGGGTATTTTACATCACTAATGCACTAGGGTATCTGACAGAAATTTATGATTTCACTATGTTTTGTTATTTTTATGTTACATTCATTTAGTTTTGATTACAAAGGCTTCTGACAGGAACCTAAGATTAGGCCTATATTTTCTTTTCACAGCGATTAATCCCAGAAACACACACAAACACACACACACCACCTCCGTCAAAAGATACGTGAGTTTAAAGGAATCTGTTGATGGATCTATCGGAAAGAAAATTTAACGAGACCTAAATCTATTGAGACGTGTATGTAGGCCTACATGTATAAAGACGTATCTATCGGGACGAATATTTTATTGGGACGTTTATCTATATGGAGGACCCCAGTCGTTTAGAGGTATATTATAATATTATTTAGATCAAACATCGAATTTTAATACAGGGACAGGCCGAGCAATAATTCACTCAAATAACGTTTTATAACACAAATTTAGAAATTAATTATTGCACCAAAGGGACAGCGTTGGAAAAGTCGGCAATAGTTTTAAAATTAAGATGGAAAAAACAATGCCTCTTAGGTCATCTTTTGTTTAAGGGACGTATGCTATACATGTTTCGTGTTCAAAATACACTGAACGCGTAAAAGGAATACCTGTGTCTGATATCATTGTCATCACGCACATCTATGAGTGGCCATGGCAGAGAAAGGACTACCTGTGATTATGTAAATCACTGCATTCCACGGAAATAAATATGTTTATTGATATTTAAAATAAAAGAAACATTGGTTACTCTGTGTTAAAATATTGTGATATGTTTGATGTGTTGCCCAACCGGACCCAGGCTTTGAGCTAAGTGTAACAACAACACCGCAGTTTGAGGGAGATGGGGGAGATGCGGGACGAGGCCTATTTGGCGGAGAGTTGGGGGGGTGAAGCACGGCAAAGTATCAAGCATCGGTGGTTCAGTGGTAGAATGCTCGCCTGCCACGCGGGCGGCCCGGGTTCGATTCCCGGCCGATGCAGTAAAAGTTTTGAACTGGCACAACTTTTTGATCTCTGACTAAAAAAGCCGATAACGAGGAAACATTCCACTTAATTAGCGGTAACATCTAGTTATTTTCTTGTCAGTAATTGTAGTAATATGATCCATGTTATTTTTGCTCTCCCATATTTTAAAAGTATGTTGTTTATATTATGCTTTTTACGTATACGTTCAAATTTATGTTTTATAAGTGAAAGTGGGGGGGGGGGGGGGGGGGGGGAATGAAGATGGAAATTATTGATACCGGTACTTTACTTTCATGGATTTCTTACATTGTTAGTGAATTCCTTTAAACTTCTCAGTCATGGAGGTAGCCGTGACATCTCACAACTTGAAGGCAGAAATAAAACCGTTTGTATTAGACACCATGCAAGGTCACGTCAGAAAAAATAATTAAATTAATGGATAAATGAATAAATAAATAAAAATAAAAACGCGCCAATTTTCTTGTGACTTATACAAGGAAAACGAAGCCGTGCCCGGTGCAGTATGTGATTTGTGGATGTCGGCCTACAAGTGCTTGCCAAGAAAGCACATGTTCTTGTAAATTATTGGCAATAAATGAATTATTCATTTAGAGGTAAATTATAATATCAATGTTTACATTAAACATCAAATCTTAATACAGGGACAGGTCGGGCAACTATTCGTTTAAATAACCTTTAAATAACACAAATTTAAAAATTAATAATTGCGCCAAAGGGAC